TTTATTTATTTTAGTAACAACACATGGTTAGTCTTTCTATCTCTGTGAAAAAGAATTTATTTTTGTTGTTGAGAATATACTCCACACCGATTCAACAACTTCTGGATGTATGATTCAGGGATATCAATTTCAGTCTTCAAGTTGTACAACCATTTTCACTCCGTATTTTCTGAACTGTTCTTCCCTATTACCACAAAAATCACTGCCCCCTACATTTCCTATGTACTTTTTCAAGTTGCTATTATAATTTGAGGGAACTCTGGTGGTGTACTGTTTACACATTGGGCTGTGACCTGAATGTTTGGCAGTTCAAAACCACCAGAAGCTCTGCAGGTGAAAGACTGGCTTTTTACTCCTGCAAACAGTTATAGTCTCAGAAACCCACAGGGATTGTTATCATTGACTTAACGGCAGAGAGTTTTTTAGTTTATTATAATTTGATCCCTTATAGATAGCTCTTTGAAAGTGCACACAGCATACATTCTTTACTAATTAAGCTAGAGGATTATTTGTTTAAAGAAGACATCAGATGACACTTTTAATTTAAGGCTTAAGGATCAATTCAGGGCAATTGTTTTGGGGGCTTATCTAGCCTCAATGGCTCCAGGAAGTCTGGAATCCATAAGAAATTTAAATTCTCTTTTGCAGTTTGCCCTTTGATCAGGAAGCAAGCTTGGCTTTTGTTATCCTCATCTTGAAAAGCCGCATTTTAAATCCAGGCAGTATGATTGAAAGCCCTTTCTCAATACTTATAGACACTACTTAAGTTACAATCAGTAAATACACTATTATCTATGTAAACTTACATTTATGCACATTTTCAATATCTGCGGGGTCCTGTAAAATCTTAGTTAGGCCTTCCAAAAGAAGGACTGCCTTATGATAGCGAAAAAACACATCTTCAGTCTGCTGAAACATCTCATCCAGGGCTGCAGATTGAACCTGGAACCGGTCACAAAAATAGGAGTTTCAACTTTTTTTTTTTTTTCAACTTTTTAAGGAAATCCTGGTCATGTAACAGTTAAATGCTTGGCTACTAACTTAAAGATTGGTGGTTCAAAGTTACCTAGAAGTTCCACAGGTAATCTACTTCTGTAGAGATTACAGTCAGGAAAACCCCAGTTATACTCTATCACATGGTGTCATTATGAGTCTGAATGGACTTGGCAGCATTCAACAACAATCAAACTATATAAAAGTTAAAGATTCTTCAGGTATGAAAGTGTCTCTTGACAAGTTATTCTGGGTTCAAATGTAGTCTGGGTTCAAATTCAGAAAAGAGATTCACAACTCATAAAACTTACAGTAGACCCTTTCTTCATTGACTTCTATAAAAAGTTTATTTTTAGCATACACTTTCATACTAGGATAACCAGGCATTTCAGTAAAGTAGATTTTGTTACAATAATAAAGTTAAATGACATTAAAAGCACTATTGTATTCTTTTCTAGCCAAAGAATTTTCTAGTTTAGTCATTCATTCTTCAAAAATATTTATTGAGTACCTACTAAGAAACAAGCCCACCAGTTGTCTATCAGTTTGTCATACTGTGGTGGTTTGTCTGTTGTTGTGATGCTGAAAGCTATGTCACTAGTATTTCAAATGCCAGTAGGGTCAACCAAAGTGCACAGTTTTCAGGGAAGCTTCCAGAATAAGGCGACAATGCAGAAGGACTTGGCTCCCAACTCCAGAGGAAGGAACCCCTGAAATCCATAAGCATAACTTCGAAACAGTGTCAGATACTGAAGGTCTAATGACTGGAAGCAGAACATTGTTGGAGATAGTGATGGAGAATGGGCCCTTCAGGTTAGAGGATACTTGAAATGTGACTGAGGAGGAGCTAATTTCTCAGAGGGGAGTTGACCAGGGTGACATGAGTCAGTTAAAGCCCGTGGGAGTGGAGCCTTCAGGATCTTCGTTTGCTGATGGGCACAACTCAAGGTAAGGAGAATCAGCTATAAAAGTTTGCTAATGATCAGAACTTGGAATGTGTGAAGTATTCATTTAGTAAATCGGAAGTCATTAAAAAGGAAATGAAGCACATTAAAAAAATGGAGCACATTTTTTTATCCTAGGCATTAATGGATTTAAATGGACTGGTATTGGCCATTTTGCATCAGAGAGTCATATGAATTACTATGCCAGGAATAACATGATCAAGAGGAATGCGGTAGCATTCACTGTCAAAGGTCATTGTAAACTTACTCATGAATTATATTATAATGCTGTATGTGATAGGATTATATCTATCTGCCTTCAAGGAAAGCCACTCAATACAAGTATCATTCAAATTTATGCGCCATCCAGAAAAGCTAGTGATAAAGAATTCTACTAATGTCTGGAGGGATATTAATTGAACATGCTATCAACGTGCACTGATTATTATTGGTGATTGGAATATTGATGTGGTAGTCACCTAATCTGGTGTCAATTTAAGGATTAAGAGTGTAGGGGCGGAGTCTAGGCTGTCAAACTGGAGATAGCTAATGAGACTTCTGTGTGGGCATGACCTTCTCCTGAGAATTCTGGGAAATGTGGTACTTCTTCCTTAGAGGTGGAAGACTCTCTGCTCACAATCTGGGAGACATAGCAACTGACAAGAAACATGGACCCACACTGATGCAGAGACCCCTGCCAGCACTCAGATATTTCCAGTGACACTGGATCCAAAGACTTTCTATCCATTGGCTGGTGATCATCCTGTGTTAGGTTTCACTGCATGTGTTTCATGAGTCTGAAGAGGACTTTATAGATTGGTATCGGACATATGGGTTAATATCAGGCTTATGGCCTTGGACTGACAGGGTTGAGATGTTTTCTCAATGTTCAATTGCTCTTGTATATAAACCCCTTTTTTATATACATATGTGTGTCCATGGATTTATTTCTCTAGTCTACCCAGACTATCATAGCTGACAATCATCCAACAGCAGTTGCAGCAGTGTATTAACATAGAGCTGCCAGTGGTTTAGGCTTGATTCAGAAGAAGATATGGAACAAGAATATCATTCCTGATGTCAGATGAATCTTGGCTCAAAGCAGAGAACACAAGAAAGATGTTTGAGTTTTATTAACTATGCCAAGGTATTTGATTACGTGGAACATAACAAACAAACTATAGATAACTTTCAGAAGAATGGGTATTCCAGATCACTTCATTATGCTTTATGCAGAACTTGTACTTGGATCAAAGAGGCAGTTTTGCAAACAGGACAAGGGAATAATGCATGGTTTAAAATCAGGAAAGTTGTGCAACAGGATTGTATCCTTTTCCCATACTTATTCAATCTGCATGCTAAGCAAAAAGTCAAAGAAGCTGACTTATATGAAGAAGAATGTGGCACCAGGAGTGGAGGATGACTTATTAACAACCTGTGATATGCAGATAACACAACCTTGCTTGCTGAAAGCAAGGAGGACTTGTATCAATGCATGATGAAGATTAAGGATTGCAGTCTTCAGTATGGATTACAACTCAATGTAAAGAAGACCAAAATCATCACAACTGGAGTAATAGGTAGCATCATGATAAATGGAGAAAAAGTTGAAGTTGTCATGTATTTTGCCTTGCTTGGATCCATAATCAATGCTCATAAAAGCAGCAGTCATGAGAGATCAGAAGGCAAGTTGCATTAGGTAAATCTTCTGCACAAGACCTCTTTAGAGTACTGAAGAGCAGGGTGTTACTTTGAGGATTAAGGTGAGCCTGGCCCAAGTCACAGTATCTTCAATGCCCTCACATGTACATGAAAGTTGGACATTGCATAAATATGGCCATTATTATTTTCTTCTTGCCCTTGTTTTTTATTGTTTCTGTTGTTTTTCCCAGTTTGTGAAGTAAAGAAGTAGTGGATGCATAGATTACAATAACTGATGCAATGGTTTATCAGGGACATGGTGGGCTAGGGGCATCCACAGGGATCAGGAGGGTGAGGGGATTTGGGGAGCAAACAATGACATGGGAGAGGGGAAGAAGCATTAGAATTGATTGTGATGATGTATATACAACTTTTTTAAAAAGGGTCTTAACTATGGAAGTGTATAATATGTGAATTTTATAACAAGAAAATTACAACCAAAAAAGAAACCAAAGTTGACCAATGGTTACCATGGAATAAGGAGGAAACGTTTGTGCTTAGAGGATATTGAGTCTATTATTTTAGTGATGATAGAATAATTTGAAAAAATAATTGATAATTTGAATTGTGGTACTGGGGAAGAGTATTAAAAGTACCATGATGGTCTTTGGAGGACGGCGAGAGGGCTCCTTAGAGGCAAGGATGAGGAGACTTCATCTTACATACTTTCGACATGCTAAGAGAGACCAGGCCCTGTATGAGGACATCATGTCTGGTAAGGTACAGGGACAGGGAAAAGGATGAAAGCTTTTAAGGAGAAGGATTGACATAGTGGCTGCAACAATGGGCTTAAACATAGGAACAATTATAAGGATGGTGCAGGGCAGGGCAATATTTTGTTCAGTCATGCATAAGGTCATTATATGGTTTGGAACTGACTTGATGGCACTTAACAAGTGACTCACTGTGCATAGAGTTAATGGAACTCAATCTGGAAGAAGATATGGGTACCCAAAATATGACAATCCAATTCCATGGGAGATATGGTCCTACAATAGCAGATGGTACAGAATACATGGGGGGGTGGGACATTTAATCCATACAATGGGAGGGACATCTAATCTATACTATGGAGGAGAAGATCTGAGGAAACTTCCAGGAGGATGCTCATATTGAATCACACAGGAAAATTAGGAGCTAGATAGGCAAAGGGTAGATAGGATAGGAGCTTTCCATCAAGGGATAATCATATTATTCCAAGGGTTAGAAGTATCTTTGCCAGGTTATGAGGATTCCCAGGGTTAGCAGTATTTTTCCCAATAGCATTCTCTTTCACTTTTTCTCTTTAATTGTTAAGTGCTAGAACATCAGTAACTTAGTTATTAATATATCTATCTCTTTCAAAAATTAATCTAAAGCAACTTATGATTCAGTAAATAACATGGATACAGAATATCAGAGGCATAAAAAGGAAGGAGAATAATTAGACGTAAGTGCTAATAATAACAGTTTTTGAAAACACCTAGGGCAAAGGGGGGGGCGGCTAATTAAAGTTACAATATGGCTCTTATTGTCAGGAAGGAAGAAAATATTTTAATTGGTTTAAGACATTTTCTCAGGCACAAAAATTTTCTAAAAATAATTGCTTAGCACAGTCTTAATTGTTTGAGTAATATAATACACATCATGAATGTTAATAATATTACTATTTTGAAGAGGGTTGTATTGGTTTCTTTGTTCCTTGTCATTTTCTATGTTGAGATTGTTTTGTTTCTGAATTTTGTCTTTTCTGTGCTGTTTCACTATTTATTAGGTCTTTGTTCCCTTCCAAGATTTATCAATTTTAAAGTTAATTTGCTATTTATGACTTTCTTCCCAAGTTTAAAGCAGCCTAGTTTCTCTTTTGTATCTACTGCCGAGCACATGAATGTGAACTTGAAATCCCGCTGAGGAACAGCCAGTCATGAGGCACTGGGTATAGTTCAGTCCCCCTGAGACAGCTGGCGTCCCATGCTGTCAGTGTCCAGCTTACTTAGATTTGTTTTTCTCCAGAGATTCACAGCTTGAGGCTTTTCCTCCAAATCTGCCTTCTTCACCTTTTTTTGAAGAGGGAATGGCGCTACACGTTTCTATCTTTACCAGAAGTCTAAGGCGTATCATTTTAGTCAACCATTTATATTCTAAAATTATTTTCATGTGATTTATTATAATGACACTCAAAAGAGACTAATGGTGTAACCTAACAATACACTATAAAATAGATAATCTTGGGAGGAATCTTATGTTAACAACTACAAATAAGATTAGCTAATGACTTTTCCCCCACTTTCTTCTTTAACAGTCTTGGTTTTTATCTATACTTCAAAGCAATTTTTCCTTCAATAGACTCAGCAAATAAACTATTTCTGACACACAGTAACTGTATACGACAGGTAGAACTGTCTCATACAGTTCCTATTAAAATCAGATGATTGGAAAAGTCCACTTTATTTTTAATCTATTCTTAACTAAGCTCAGTAAGCGGAATATAGGCATACAGATTTTATAGATCAGTTAACAAAGGAGTATTTTCTCTAATAGCTTTTTTTAGGGCAAAATTTCCAAAATAGTAGAAAGTGTAGAAAAGATACACCAAATGCTTTTAGAAGCAAATTATATAAAGATTAGACCCTGTCTAAAGCTGTAAATTTTAAGATGAATTATCATATTTCACCAGGGCATAACTTCAAGCGGAATAAATGTGAAACAATTCATAAGATAATAAGCACTATAAAAATCATCAATCTTAAAGGGGTTACCATTTCCACAGCACAATTATAGATGAGTTTCTCTGCAGTTACACTGTTGATTTCATCAATAAATCTCTGCTTGTCAGAGAAGAAGCGACTCAGCTTTTCTGTAAGTTTCTTGCTCATAGTGATGCAAAATTTATATCGTTCATTCAGATTTTTGACAACTGAAAAAAAGGGAAAAGATAGGCGTTAAAATTTTGTTTTATTTGGAAATAAAAACAAAAGTGACATGTACTATTCCTAATGATATGAGGAAAGCGACACTAAATTAATTAGGGGAGGGAGGTGAGAATGGAAATCAGAATTTTCATATGCATTTTTTTCCGTTAAGAAAATCTGAAACTAAAGCACTACCGACCTTCTTTTACCAATTAAATGGGAAAATATACAAAAAAATCTATCATCTTTCCTTTCTGACTAAAAGTACTTAGTAACACAATGATTTCCTATCCAAAGTTACTTCTTTGTCATAATGAGAATAGGATATTTCTGGAGTTACCCTGTCACACTCAACCATACCTTGTTTTACAGTTGTGGATGGGCTCAGCTGCCCAGACTTGATCTGCGCTTTGGCGAGATGTAGGGAAGCTGCTAGCAGCTGTGCTGCTTTCATATACAGTATCAGTTGTTCCACCCGTCTGCATCAAGAGTAAGAAAATCATCTTGTGAACCAACATGTCAGAATAGGCTCGCCTACATAGCATGTTACCATTAAAATAGCCTTTCTAAGGGAGTATACCATTCCATGAAGGGAGGCTAGGGATGAAAAGGGTGTGTGCACAATACCCTTGGTATGGTGAGTTAACATAACTTGATGTGGCTCTTCTATCCACAGTCTTGGTAACTTCCACCAAATGACTAGGAGGAAGCTGCAAATAAGGGGTTGAAGACTCCAGTGTGAGAACTGGTCAGTTTTGCCACCTTGCTGTAAGCGTAACAGAAAACCCCACAATCAGCAAGAAAGAATAACCCGGAGTAAAGTGTATCTGAGATCACTGAAACAACAACAACAACAACAACAAAGAACCAGCACCAACACCATGAGGAACAGTAACAGGCATACTGCCCCCAAAATAAGTACAGCTGAGTGCAGAAGGTTGGGTTGCAGAGTAGGGTGCCCGTAGGGCAACTATCAGTGTTAAAGGAGTTTTTTCCTGCGCAGGGCAAGGGCCAAGGGACAACGGGGCTGATAGGCTGAGCATCAGAGAGAGGAGACATACCCTGCCAGCATGGCTGAGAAGAGGCAATGTGGACAAAAAAAACTATACCCTTAGCATGTTGTAACCTGTAAGCTTCCCCCGAACCCCTCCAAAAAAAATCCTTGAATTCTGAATACTGTTTGTGTGGCCTCTACAATGGATTATAAACTCAGCAGAGAAACAGAGTGCTCATAGGAGAGGCTATTGGTATCAGAATAAGGTAAAGAAGGTTGGATAGTGGAGGTACATCTGAAAATTACCTCATAGGAATTATTCTTGGGGAAATATGGAGTTGGAGTCTCCTTCTCTCTTTTGTAGCCAAACAAGGTCAAATGTGGTTTCCATACCACTTCCCCATTCAGATAAAAATCATGTAACTCTATCAAAAATCTTTAACTTTATTCATTTACAGGGAAAGGTAACACTAAGATTGCATAAATCTCCAAGTTGTAGCTCATAATAATAAAATATAGTATAATTTAGTGATATCTAACTTAATATAATTTAGACACTCCCCTGGATCTGAATCTTAATCTTTTAATGTGAAGTTTACAGAAAGCATGAAGAATTTGAAAATGAAAAACAAATGAGGAATATACCCCCAATCTTTGCTGAATTGGCTGATCTGGCCCACAACCACATTTTCTTGAATTTCGTATAAGGAGACAGCAGATGTACACAGCTCTGGATTTCCTCCCCGCAATGCTGTGAGATCCAGGACACACTCAGTAAACACCAACATGAGATTCAGATGGCGTAAGGCGTCTGTGTGTTCTTGCTGCAGCAAAGTAAATTTTTCTTAGAAATCTTCAGAATAAGTACATACACATTCTGTAAATAAATCATAGTCCCTACAATTGTACTTAAATATATAGGTCTGTGCACCAGAATGATTGAAGACTCTTCAGATTTTTAAAATATCAAAAGACTAAGAAAATAAGCAAATTAAATCAAATGTGGGTATGTTGCTTTGCTATCAGATTATTGTAAACTTGATTATGATGGATGGGCTACAGTATATTTTTCGGTTGTTCAATAAAAGAAAATTTCTCTCTGGCTTATTTTAATATTGCTGGTAGTCTTTTGTTCCTTCCTCTATATTTTTATTCTTACTTTAAAATATTTATTTGCTTTACACAATTGATGTGTGTATGGATTGCGATAACAGTTGTATGAGCCCCTAATAAAATGTTTAAAAAAAGAAAAAAAGAAACTGATAGAGGTAGCAATTGTACAATACCGCTTGATGTAATTGAACTATGGAATGACATGATCTCTGTATTAATTCCCAATAAAATGGTTTTGAAAAAAAAAAGATAAATAATAATAATGATGATGGGCTACAACCCATTGGATAAATAGAAATCCTTGAGTCCATGCTGACAGAGAGACAGGCAAAGAAAGGAACAGAGAAGTTTTTCATTACTATTCAATAAAAACTTACAAAACTAAAAAAAAAAAAGATTTCTTTGTTTCTGATAGGTTTCCTGGTTTATGAAACACAGGTTTGGATGCATAGAGGCAATAACTGATGCAATGGTTTATCAGGGATATGGGGATTAATGGGAATTGGGGAGCAAATAGTGAATGTTGCAGGGTGGAGGGTGAACTAGATTTGTGATGTTGTATGTATAATTCTTTTTAAAAGTGACAACTATGAGAGTGTATGATATGTGAATTTTATAACGCTAAAACTATTGGGTAATAACGGAAAAAAAAACCCAATGTGGTGTCTGTATATGTTTGTGATATGTATCAGAGCATCACAAAGGTTAGCTGGAAAGGAAAAAAAATACTATATGATTAAATCAACATGCATAAGATAAAAACCTGACAAAATAGGTATCAATATTAGATAATTCAGTGAATTCTACAGATGTCTTACAAATTCAGAGATGCCTTATTTTAATTGCTTAAGTTCTTTCAATTAATCAGATGATTAGAACCAACAGCAAAGCTCTAAGATATTGTATGACCTCTTCAGGTATTGAGGGGGTAATCTAGATATATCAGCATTCAGAGATATGCCACTTAAAATCAATATTTTAAAATGTTTTCAGATTTGCACTTTAGTTATGTGTACTTTGAAATAAAAAGACTAAAAAATTCTCATCTTTTTTATGTTAAAAGGGATTTTGGTCATTTTTCTAGAGCCTTTCTGCTCTATGACAGAATTTTAGAGTCTTATGTGGCAATACAATGGATCACATGTAACAAGTTGATATGCCTAATTTGGTAGGGGAAAAAAATTGGATTGATTTTCTAATCTCAACCCATATTACACATATTTTGAAAATGTGTACTATCATTAAAATCAGCAGAAAATCACCACTGAACTCTTACGTGCAATATTTTATATGGAATATTTTAATTACATTCAGATAAAATAAGAATTTTACTACATGAAATGAAAACTTGCTCCTTATTAATCTGAAGAATTTACCATTTTAACTTAAACTCAAGTTGAATTAGCATGGTATCTAGAGATTCAGGATATATTAGTTTACTGAAGGTTACAGAATCAAAATATGATTTGTCACAGTGTTTGAAATCATAAAATTAATTCTGTTCTGAATCTATATCTTTCCCTATAAAACTGGCCTGAAAGAATGACTGTCCTGCTGTAAATACAGGAGGATCAGTGGGCTAAGAAGCTAAAAACTAGTTTTAAATGTACTACTTATTTTTAACAGTTTTACTGGTATATAATTAACATATCATATAATTAAATAGTTCAACCATTTTAAGACGAGTAGCACAATCATCACCACAACCTATTTTGGAAGGTATACTATTTTTATCTTATGATAAAAGCAAGATGTAGGAATAAACATTTATTGGTTTACGACAAAGATTTTTTCCAAATATCTTGCTGTTAAACACTGTCCTGGAAATGAGGCAAAAAAACAAAGTAACTGGCATCCAAAGAGGAAAGGGAAAAGTAATGTAATTTCTATTCATTGATGACATAATCCTAACTATAAGTAGTTCCAAAGAATCCATAAGAAAGCTATTAAAACTAATAAATCCAATAAGGCTGCAGGATTGGAGAAAAACAAGCAAATCAGTTGTGTTTCTATACACAGTAATAAATAAACTGAGAGGCAATGAAGCAAGTCATGTATAATAGAATCCGAAAGGATAAAATATCTAGGAATAAATTTAAGCAAGGAGTGAAAAAGACTGTTGCAAATAGTGAAAGAAATTAAAGAAGACCAAACAAAACAGAAAGACATGCTGTACTTAGAAATCATGATTTATTATTTGTAGATGTCAATAATCTGCAAAGCAATTTAGAGATTCAATGTAATCTGTATCAAAATCTCAATCATCCTTTGTTTACAGAAATGGAAAAGCTGATCCTTAAGTTCACAGAAATTACATGGGGTCCCAAAGAATCTAAACAATCTGAAGAAAAAAAGGAAAGTAGAACTCATACTTTGCAACTTCAAAACAAATTATCAATCAAACTAAATGAACTGTCACCACTTAATTCAAATTCATGGTGACCCAGTGTGTCACAATAGGAATGTATGGTGAACCACTTGGTCTTTCTTCTGAGGTACTTCTATGTGGACTCAAAGAATCAACTTTTTGGTTAGCAGCTGTATATTAACTATTTGCACCAATCAGGGACTCAAAACACACTTTAAAATAACACTAATGTAAATAGTAAGGAGTCCTGGTGGTGCTGTCAAGGAAGTGTTGAGCCATTAACCACAAAATAGACTGTTCAAACCCATCAGTTGCTCCACGAGAGAAAGAAGAGGCTATCTAATTCTGTAAAGATTTATAGTATGGTTGTGATAAAGACAAATTTATAGATCACTGAACAGAATTGAAAGAAATAAGGCCATAAAAATATATGACTAACAGATGTTGAGAAGGGTGTTAAGTCCACTATGGCACAGGAGGAAGTAGTCTCTTCTATAAATAGTCCTGTGATAACTAAATCTCTACAGGTAAAACAATGAAGCCCAACCAACACCCAATACCACATATAACAACTAGGAAAAAATAATGAATGACCTAAATTTAAGAGCTAAAACCAAAAAACTCTCAGAAGAAAACATAGGAATAAATCTTCCAAAATATTGTTTTGGGCAATGGAATTTTATGAGGCACCAAAACTATGGGCAAAAAAAGAATATAGATAAATTGAATTTTGTCAAAATTAAAAACTTCTGTACATCAAAGGGAATAACCAAGAAGTTAAAAAGGCAATCTACAGAATGACAGTAAATATTTGGAAGCCATATATCTGATAAGAATTTGGTACTCAAACTATATAAAGAACTTCTATAACTCTACAAATCTGTCTTAGGCAGAATGCTTAGAAGCAAAGATGGAAATACTTGGAGCATATTCCTAGAGACAGATCTCTTGCTTGGTAAAGCAGAGAATCAATGGGGAAAAATGGCCACCCGATAGGACTCACCCTTTTGGAGCTCCTGCTGCCAGACCAGAAAATTGGGAGGTAAGGTGAAGGAAGCGGGGAGGTGGAGTCCAGAAATTAGAACTAGGGTACTAAGGTCTCTCCTGAACCCCATTTTTGAGTGTGATTTCCACTCACAAAGCAAACCAAGAATGCTTTAAACTGCTCTAGCTTTTAGCCCTCAGGCACCCACCTCCGCCCTTTGCCGGGAGCAGCGATTTCTCCAGTCTGACGCCTTAAAAGGGACAGGATTCCAGACATGAGGAGAACCCCACGCTGGAGCTCTCTGCGCTGTTGAGCTCACAGCCTGGGGAGTGTCAGTGGCAGGTAGCCGTAATTTAGAGTAGAAGAAAACAGAGTTTTACCTCAGGTAGATTGCAGTGTGGGAGAAAACAGGCAGATCGTCGGAATCCAGGGAGCGAAATTAGTTTCAATTGGCGGAGAAGGAAACAACCTCCCTGATAAGCTGGCTCTCCCCCTCTGGGGACCAGCCTGACAGCTCCCAAATCTGGTGGCTCAGCTCCAAGGAGCACATGGGGGGGGGGGGATCCCTTAACATAAATCAGCATAAGAAGGAACCTAGCTAAGGAATGCCAGAACTCAGCTACAGGGCCTAGGGACTTTTTGCATAAAAAAGACCTGCTGTAGCAAGCATCAGTTTCAAACAGCAGGAGCTGCAGACTAGAGACTGTGGGAGACAAGTCAATTTGATTTTAGTCTAGCTGGGCAGGGGATAAAAAAAAACAACTCTGATCTAGTAGGACATAAGCAGCCTAGATAGGACAACAGGCCCAGCTTCCCTTTCAGTGAATCTAGGGCCCTGGGGCCCTAGACCAGGCTGTGGGAACACCCCGCCCCCCACCCCTGCACATCACAAGGCAGGCATACCAGTAAACTCGAAGTTCAACGGATGCCTGGTCACGGGTGCGATCTTGCCTTTGAAAGTAATCCCACACAGCATCTGTGGAACCCTACATAAAGTGGGTACACTACCCCGCTACCTAGAGGAAGAGTTGGAACTCCTCCAGCCTCACGGACAGGTGATCAAGTCTGTTATCACCTTACCTACTACTCTATTTCTTCCCTCTTCATTAACTAGCATTTCTATCTTTCCCACTGCAGTCAGTCTCAAAGAGCGCAGGTTTGTGTTGGGGTTCTTTTTTCTCACTTTCTTCTTTTCCCCTCTTTTTCCTCTTCTCTCCCATGCTCTCCTATCATACGCCACTACTGGCTTCCAGATCACTACCTTCCACTTAGGGCAAATCAACCCAAATAGCAAGAGGAACTCCAGCCTGCCCTCCGTGGGAGAGCTGAACACTATACAAGGCAGCTGGGACAAACAT